CTCCTTTGACTTAGGATATAATCTCAGCTTGGCAGCAGGAGAAATCCTCATATCAGGACTCTTGACTTGAATTGACTTTTACTTAAGATAGTGATGAAGGAAATTGCAATACTCCAGAAAATTCTGAAAATTAATGCCTTAATGATCCTTACTTGTCACGTTCCTGGGAAAAGGGTTGGTTTTTTTTTTTTTTTAAAATCTAATGTTCTTGGCAAGTAATGAAAATTAATAAGAGAATATTTACAGCCTAAAAGACCCATATAACTGTTAAAGTGGATGGGGGAAAAAAAGCAGTAGTACATAAATATGCGTTACCTCCACATGAGTGTCTGGTGTACAGAGGGCCGTAAATGGAAGACGTGGTTGCTGACAGCCAGGTTATGTTCTAGCCTGAAGGGCTCTAGGACTACTCCATCCCGCACTGGGAACGTCAGACGCAGTTCCTCGTTGTGGCTTGCTGTTTTTGGAGATAAGAACCAACCTTAAATCACAGACTTAAAAAAAAAAAAGAAGTTTAAAACGCTTGACCTTACTGTTCATTGATTAATTACTGACCTGGTGGGGGAGGGAGTGCGGTGATATTTGGTTTAATGTCAGGAGGGAAGGGTGGCTTCACATCCTGGTTTGGCGACAGGTACGGCGGGATGTTACTTCCTGGTGTCATTGGAGGAGTAGGGTTTCCTGGCACAGGCGAGTGAGGGTAGTTCCCCACTGGCCTTGGAGGCTATATAAAACACAAATTGAGTTGTAAATCAACTACTTAAATCACTAAAGAGTACATTCAAGTGTATAATTTTAAATTTTAATAAACTGGTACCAAAGTAGACTTACCCCATTCATATTTCCCTGGTTGTACTGATATCCACTCCCAGAGAAGTTATTTGTTTGGCCATTGAAAGGTGGCTCTTGCTGCGATTTTAATTAAACAAATAATTTGTCAAATTTACACCATTATTAGCTAAAAAAAAATGTCAGTGAGACTTTGATAAAACTGCATATACAATATGAAATACACCATCACATTTTTATTGAATAGCTTTAACACTGCACCTTATAGTACTGGCCTATGGCACCACTGGGTGGTGGGTATTGGCCTTGCAGCTGCTGTCCTGGCATCCTCGGGCCAGGGTAGTTGGGGGATGGCAGCGGCCTGGAGGCATTTGGTGTGGGATATTGGCCCTGCTGGTTAGGGAACTGGTTGTTTGGTCCATACTGCTGCCCACCATAGTTTGGCTGTGGAATCAGTGACCGGGACATACATTCAGCATATAGCAACGGAGCTACATATTTAAGGTGACACTGTTTAATCCACTCACCTCCCCTGGGTACGGTCTTTTTATGCCCTGCATACCCATGCCCTGAGCCCGAGGACCTGCATAGCCTTGCTGAGGCATCCTTTGACCGTGTGCCCCAAAAGGCCCCATGCCTTGGCCCCTGGGTTGGTTCATTCCCATTGGAGGCCCGCTCATGTTGGATGCATTCATGCCTGTGCCCATGTTTCCAGGAAGGGATGGAGGGCCGCGGGGTCCTGGCTGGTTCATGAACTGACTGTTGTATGCCTGATTTGGCCCCATCTGGAAAGAGGAACTCATCTGAGAGACAAAAATGAATTTGATCAACCACCTCAGACTTAACTGTCAATATTACGCAGTTTCTGTTGAATCAAAAAATTTTATAGATAACAAACAAACACAAAAAAACTCCACCAGAAAGAAACAAAATGGTATTAAAGTCTGAGAAACAGTTTGTTTGCTTCTGTTGCAAATAAATGTGGTACTCCAGCTTGCTATTGTTAGCATTAAAGGGATAGAGCCAAAAGTCAAAGTTGATGAATTCTAAGTAGTCTGACACGTGCACAAAATGCAACAGTTTGCATTCAGTCTATCAGTTTGTGCGTCATCCTACCGGTCCATATTGGTTCATGTCCTTATTCTGGGTTTCCTGCAGGGCGGCTACAGTTGCTGTTGCAGTGGCAGTTGCGGTGGCAGCAGCAGCAGCAACTGCAGCTGCGGCGGCAGCAGCGGCAGGCTGGGTGAAGTCAGAGGGAGGACGGGAGTGCGGAGGGATGCCCATTCCACCGGGTCCAGCATTCGGCCCTCCAGGGTAACTATAAGAATAAGCAAAAAGATATTAAAGAAGTTCTAGAGAAGAGAATGAATTAAAGTAATTGTCTGAATTAGTTCTTTAAGCATTTTTTAATCACTCCAGTGACCATCAGCAATCCATCTACTGGTTACTTACTTGCCACCAAAGCCTCCTCCTCCAGGGTAGTTGGGTCGACCGTACATCCCCTGCTGCATATAGGCCGGGTTTGAGTTGCCTTTGTTGGGGAACTGCTGCTGCGGACCGGGGAACTGAGGAGAGTTCATACCTGGAGTGTTACCAGACATACTCGAGGCCATAGGGTTACCACCAGGGTTCATGGGATTGTTGCTGTTGGCCATGGGATTCCCCAACACCTGTTCCACATTAGGAATAGAGTGAAAAACACATGTAAATGTTTCACTGATTTCAGATGAGGTTCAATTCAGAATATCACTGCCAAATACAAAAATCTGCAGGTGGTATTATTACAGCTATTAAATATAAAGACTTGGAACAGGCACATTTTTACTCTTAAGCAAAAAGGGGATCTCACCTGGCTCTGGGAAGTGTTGGTCACACCCCACACGGTGGTCACCACAGACACTGAACCGGGAGGCTGGTTGGTGTTTTGCTGCCAGGGAACTGAGTCATAGGGAAAAGACCCATCTCTGCAGGGAATAGAAAACACATTTCACTTAAGCAAAACAAAATGGTTTGCCAAGCAGCACAAGTATTTACAGTATAGTTCTAGTAAGTATGTTTGCAACTGCTGAAAGACAGGAAAAGGCAAGTTATGTGATTAAGCTTAAAAAAAATATGAATGCGTCTTCTTCTTCTTGAAAGGCAAATGGTTGAGTTACTGTTTGCCACTATTGACTGTGCTATATGCAGTTTGTCTGGCAGTTTGTCTAGCCACTGATCCATAAGGAACAACGGGCCTCACACAGAGAGGAAGGGCTTTCCCCAAGGGCCCAGTCTGTCTGTTCGCATACCCAACACACACAAACACATCTCACACACAAGCCAAAAAGCACAGCAGTGAACACTGACCCATGTGAGAGGCTGGGCTTCATGGAACTCATGGGGGGCTGCATGGGCACTTTTCCCGGAGGCTCGTTCTGCCTGTTCTTCTGGTGACGGAGGAGGAGGAGGCGTCCAAGCTCCTCACACCACGAGGAGAGGAGGGCTGGAAAGAGAGCAGAGTACATAAGTACTGTTGGAGACCTGTTAGAAATAACTACAGAGGTACCACCCTACTATTGCAAGCACTTAAGAACAAAAAAAGCAAAAAACTTCTGAGCAAAAGTTCATGTTAAAAATCCAAAAAGCAATGGCCTGACTGGAAAAAAGTGCACAAAAATAAATATGCATTGTACCCTATGGCACAACTGTGGAGCTATATTCTGTGCAAGGTACCTGCAAAATGGAACAAGCAAACAGTATGTAACAGTGCAACAACATTAAACACAAAGACATCCTATCATTCATGAGATGTGAAAAACAATGTTTGCTCAAGAGTGATATGTTTACAGGTTGTTATGATTTATTTATTTACTAAATAAATTATTTAATTCAAAATTAGGGCGGTTTATTTTCTGGCACTTGTAGTTAGTGAATAAGCATATTTCATGTGAGGAAAAACAGGAGTGTTTGGGGGAAATGCACTAAACAGCTTATATTCATACCTCACACAAGTGCACACTGGGGCCATTGATTTATATCAACTGTGCTTATATTTACACTAATACTCACATAACCACACCTAAATGTCATTACATAAATAGCCATGTGCGACCCACATGCACAGGCTCTGCTATTTAAAATATTTTTATCCTGTTACTTTTTGTTCAGTTTAATTTAGATTGAAAAGTCTTCCCGTGGACAGAAATTTCTAAATCATGATTGTGTTTGTTCTAAGAAACGTTGGAACATTTTAAGAACCCAAAGCCTGTACCTTTAAGCTGCAATGTAAAGGATCAGCCTAAATCCTGCATGCCACTGTAGCTCATGGCCACTAGGGTTCACTCTGGGCCTGCAAATGAATTCCAGTCCTTCCCTTCTCCCCACCTACCTACCACTTGGTTAGGTAGCTACCACAGAGTGCGTTTGATCGAATCATATGCTTTTCATCTGCAGTGCATGTGTTTGTACTGTGCCAACTACAAAAGACTCACTTTTCCCTTTTCTCTCCCTCTCACTTCCTCTGCCTCCTTCTAGCCTCTCTCTGTGGCTGTCTGAGGAGAAAGGGAATGTGGATTCAATCAAAGAGCAGGGCAGCCACCTCCTCTTATGATTCACAGCACTTCTAGGCTGAGTAAGGAGCGGGAGGGGTGGGTGGGTGAATCAGAGTGCTTGGTGATTTCAGCTGCGGTTCGCGCAAAAAAGCCACGTCAATATGACAGCAGACAGTGCGCGCTGTCCTCGCAGGCAGATGCACCCTGCTGCCACATGCAAGGGTGGGCTGCCACATATTACACACACACACACACACACACACACGCACACATACAGATGCAGACGCACAAGAGAGAAACAACCGAGATTAAAAATAAAGAAAATACAGAAGGCTGAATGAATCAGCGAGAGAGGAGACATCAGTCTAATGGGGCTGACAGGAAGGAAGAACAAACAAAAGCTTTTGACTCCCATCACAAACATGGCAACCCAGACATCTGACCACACATGGCTGCTTGCAAACCGTACAAGCTTACCAGCACACTCAGACAAGGAAAGAAACAGCACGAGCTTATAATAACACACACACACACACACACACACACACAGGCGTAAAATAAATAGGACACAAGATGTCCTCTGAGTGTGGCGAATTTTCCGAGGACAAAACTGAGTTTCTGCTTCGACACACAAACACACACCTTCTCCTCTCAGAGCACTGCACCCCAAAAGGCACCTCCTATCCTTTCATTTGAACACTGAGCACACCAGCCTCACTCTGTGTAAAGATGAGGGCTGGAATACAAAAGACATGTACAGATGGTGCCAGCAGTCTCCTTGCTTCTCCCTCTCCTCTCCCTCCCACTCCTTTAAAAGCAGCACGGGGCTCAGGCACAGAGGCAGCTGGGTTTTTCCTCTTTCCCACCCGCTCACGCTCCCTCTCTTTTTCTCTCCTCCTCCTCCCCCTCCTCTTCTTGGCAAGGCAGGTGCCAGGAGACAGGCTGTGCTGTTCCTCCAGAGAATTTATCTGACTTTACCATGGCTGTGCTTTAGTTGACGGAAAAGGCCGCTCAGGTGCACTTTCTGCTAAAAGCATCACGCTCAAAGGTAAAGGCACAGATTCCCGAGTTACTTTTAATTTGATAAAAACCGGATCCAAGTGTGGCTAATAGGTTTACGGGTTTCACATCTATGTTAGTACGTCCTGCAGTGTTTTTAACAGCACCCTCCCTCTCCTCAGACCCCCTTCTGATGGAGAGAGTTTTCAATTCAAGGGCCTGGCGACCAGCCAGCATGTTACAGCTCAATTAGGTCCCATTATTCTCTTCCAACAAGGGGTAACTTGCACTTCTTCTATGTTGATAAACATGTCTCCACAATTTATCCCATAGCTGTGCCACTGTGGGGCCGTCTGGGTAAGCAGACAGCATCCCTGTTTCACGCCGAGGCCGACATCAACAGCCGCAGGACATAAACAACAACCGTGTGGAACATAGCAGAAAGATGACAATACATCGGCTATCTGAGAGAAACAGGAGAAAAAAAAAAAAAAAAAAGAGAGAGAAGGAATCACAAGTGTTGCCACTTAAAGAATTATTCTACCCCATCATTAGATAAAGGGCTTATCTCTGCACAAAATTACCACCTCCACTAAGCACCAACCGGTTTAAAGGAGAAGCCCTGTCATTGACTCAGAGGATAAACTTCAGGTTTCAGATGACGGGAGGAGGAACAGCCAACTCGTTTCTCTTCAGTCGCTCCCTCCTACTCTTCCTACACCCAAACACGGCTCAGGACAGTGCAGATGAGGAACACAAAAGGATTACTGTTTCTCGTCTCCACTCCTCCCACAGACGGCCTTTCAATAGACTCATCTGTCTCCCTCTCTGAGAAGAGCCAAATCTGGAGATAATTGTCTCAGGTGTTGCACTTCCAAATCTCAAAGACCATTCTGGAGTGAATCAAACTGGCATTTTGTGCTAGAGAGCATCCTTCTGCCATGTTTACATTGGTCTCCCTGGCGGCAACGAGTCTCTGCCTTCCATAAGGAGAGAAGGTTATCCTGTTTGCCTCGTAGATGGTCCCAGGGGCCCTGCTGAGTCTGAGCCGTATTGATATTCTGGTGCTCAGCTGCCCAGCCTGATGGTCAACCATGGCGAAGGGTGGTAAACGCATCTGCTGGGACTAGATGGGTGGTTCAGTGATTGGGTCTGTAGCTTCCAGCTTCACTTGCTGTCATAAAGCCCCAGGGAGACATGACAAATGACATGGACTTCATCCCTGACAGTTGTTCAATGCTCTATCCAATGATAGCCTAATGCTCCCCCAACCTTCCATCCATGGCCCATGCAGACACGAGGCAGAGAGATAAACTGTGCTGATTAAACACTCTGATTTGGGCTCTGCCGTGCTCTCCCGAAAACAAAGAGCTTTTAATAAAAGGTCAGTTAACCCAGATTGCAACATTAATATTTTTGTCATTTGACTGCAAATTGAGATGTTCATCTTTCAAGATATCTGTATGGAGGTTGATAGAATTTATTTTGTGCTGCTAAAAAATTCTTAAAATTTTGCTCATTTCTAAGAGTTTCATGTATCAGTTTGCTGTAGGCAACAAGGCAGCTTTATAGGCATGTGTTAAAAACTGACAGTGACTACCATATACTGTTATGTAGGCTAAGTGGCTGCACTGTAGTACCTTAACATGTGACTATCAGTGCTAGAGAGATCTCAATTAAAATTTCTATTCTAAAGTTGTGTGTAAAGTTATTTGCTTTTGGAACATTAGCTTATTTTTAAGGTCTACTTTCTTTCTGCACTAACAAGGTAATTAAACAAAATATTCTAACACAGTTAAACCAATAAAGGTCGGTTATTTAGTAAGTTAGCTTGCTGCTAACCAAGCTAGCCAGCATTACCTTCTAATCTCAGTTTAGTAAACCGTATTGATTTTACACAGTACATTTCTAGCCATATTTACCACGTGCAGTGCTTTTACACCACAAGGCATTTTTCCCCATTCACACACACATGTATACAGCACATGTCTGTGAAGGTTCTCAGTCATCCAGGTCATCGTAGTCAAAGGAGCTTGCAAAGAAAAGCGTCTGGACTTCTTTAAGTTACTTGAAGACGTTTCACCTCTCATCCGAGAGGCTTCTTCAGTTCTAGCACATTATTCTATTCAGCACATTATTCTATGCATCAGAAGCAATTTGGAGTCCAGCATCTTACTCAAGGACACACTGACATGCAGACTGGAGGATTCAGACATTGAAACATCATCTTTCCACTTGCACAGCTGCCCCATTGTAGCCACCACAGTGGTGATGCCCATGCCTAACATACCATGGACTCATCTATAAATACAACACAGACCAATCAATTTACAAAATTTGGAAATAAACTCGGCAGATGTTCCTGTGTCAATATCATTCATCCAGTAAAATCATCCCCAACGCAAAGCTTCTGCCCGCCAGACAGTACCAACTTACCAACTGTCACTCATATTACAAAGTAAGTCAAAGTATGCAAAAACAAATACCGTGATGAAAAATAATATTAAATTAATAAGAACAAAATACATATTTTTTTGCAGTTGCTACTGGATGGCAAAAACTTCCATGCAGACTTCATGTATGCTACAGACATTAACACTGTATGTCATTACACAGCGTGCTCCGTATATGAGTGCTTTTAAGACAGCAGAAATGTTAAAAAAAACAAAACAAAATTGAGCACCATAATGATTAAGGGCCATGTGCTACAAGGGAGAATATAACCTTAAACACATGAATAGCTGCTATTACAAAGGTCACCCCTACACTTGCTGCTGCCTCAAGAATAGTTTCCTCTACTCTTCATTTTCTACCTCCCTCCTTTTCCTTCCATTATTGGCAGGGCGCTGCAAGGGAGGCAGCAGGTAACGCAGATGCCAAGAGTTTCTATGATCCTCATCCGCACCCGTTCTCTGCCTCCCCCTCCCTCTGCTCTGTATGTAATAGACACCTG